AACAGAATTCTTAAGTTGAACTGGAAATTTATTTTAATAAAATTTAAAATGTAACAAAGTTTAAAGTAATTTAAAACCAGTATCTTCTTAGTTTTTTATTTTAAATTACGCCTTTATGACTAATTTATTGAAAATTACCAAACATTTCTAATTTTTCTAATACTCCTAAAATGCCTAATTAATTTTTTTGAGTTGTTGAGTCTATTATCTTATTTTTTTCGACTTCTCTAACTTTTTTCGTTCTTTTTTCTCCTTTTTTTTAATTTTTAGTAGCATTGTAAAAATGCTTTTATCTAAAAAGGGAAGAAAATTTATGTTTGCTATTTGGCTCTGATATTTTCATCAATAAAACAATCTTTAAAAATACAATAATATCTAGCAATTTCGCATTAATTTGTAAAAAGTAAGATTTGTATGGTTTTAAAATAATTTTTTCTATTCTCTTTATTTAAATTACTCTTATGACTATATTTCACAATTTTCCTGACAATTTGCTAACATTGTTAATATTTTCTTTTTCCTCCCTTTTTTCCTTTTTTTTTTAAGAAGTTATTAAGAATTTTTTTTGTGGTATGAAAGTATCGAAACGTGTACAATACATAAAAAATTTTTCGAGAGAGGGATAATTTTTGTGTGTTTTCACTGTTATATAATTTTACTATTTTGTGAGTTTCATCAATTAAAATTGCTCTAAATTATCATATCTTTCAAAATTAGGCTAAACAATTTATAAAATTCGCTAAAAATCAGGGAATTATATCAATGAAATTTTTACTTTAAGAGTTACGTTTTCCGTAACGCTGCACTAGAGTTACGTTAATGTTGTTAGTTTGGAATTCATTCGTAGTAAAGTTTGAAGATAATCCTGGCACATGCGTGAACTACCATACCGTGAGTGAACTTTTTCTGTACTACAAGTGCCATTCTCACTGTCAGTGGTAAAATCGCGTGTGCGAATTCGGAGGTGAGAACGAAATCTTGTTTGGTAAATTTTTCGTGAGGGAAATGTATTCCCAGGTTCTCATTTACATTTCCGAATTCACACATGCAATTTTTTCACATATGGTTTGAATGGTGGCTAATACTCCACTAGCAGGTTAATGAAGCTAAATATTCGTAAAACTGGTTTAAAAAAGTATCTTAATAAAGTTTAAACCTGCTAGTAGAAACACGAAGTGAATTTTCGCAGCCTTCGAACGTAGACGGTGACGTCGGTCTTTACCCAAGTCTATTCGATACCAGCATCCAATAGTAAAACATTGGGCTGGGTACAATGGCTTCATCATCGTCCGCGTTTGAGTGCTGCGGGCAAGTTTTTCTTGGGAAAATATTTTGTACCATTCTGGTTCTGACGAATCACATATGCAAACGCATGAAAATGCGGTTCGCATTCACCATTTATGCTTTTTCTAAGCATTTGTACGTGCTTCTGAGGTAATCAAACGCTGTGGGAATGGCACCTAAAATTTTTCATCAAGGTTTTGATTACGTCGTTTAAGGTGGTCCTAAAGTGAAATCTAGTCTAAACCTTAATGACGCTGACAATCGCACCCTGCCTCAGGCTAAAATTTAGTTGCCCAGAAAGATTTTAACTTTCAGTTGTTTGTCAACTTCGAAAAGAGGTATTTTTTCTTTTAGCGATTTTTAGACGTAAATAAATCAATGCATTACAATGTTATATATAGTGATGTGAACAAGTATAGAAAGACTTCTAGTATCACAAAAAAAAATTCGTTTTAGATTAATAATTTAGATTTCTTTACTTTGACGTCCTTTAAATAAATCTACAAAAAATTAATTGTGTGTATATTAGATAATCCATTTGTGGTATTTATATAATGTGACCAATTTTCTACTGTGAAAAAAATCAAAATTCTAGATCAGTGGTTCCTGAACTTTTTTGTCTCGTAGACCCCTTGCTATGTTTTTCGGTTTTGGGTAGACCCCCTGCTTACCTGATATTGATTTTTTGTAAATTCACCAACTTCTAATGTATTTTTGACAACTGGTATAGTGCTACTCACTGTGAAAGATTTAAATTTCTAACTCTAGTGAAGGGTAGAGTGAAAAACTTTAAAAAAAAACACATGTTAATTTTATACATTCATTAATTAAATTCAAACTAATTTAATTTAATAAATATGTACTCCGCTACTACTATTATAATTGCGGAAATAAGTTTGTATACAAAACCGTAGAAGTATATTGCTGGTCTATTTATTATGTTTTCACGTAAAAACTAAGCAACAAATCTCCGCTATCTTGTGCGCAGATAAAGCTGGAGGTCTAGCTAGCTGAAGAGTTGACACAGACTAGGCTACAATTTATTTGTTACAAAATAAAACCTTACACACAGAGAAAATAAATACGAACGTGAGCGGAGCTGCAGGCAACTGCTAGTTTATAACAATTCAGTTTCATATATCAAAAAATAATCCTAATAACTTAAATTTTAATGAAATTTTTACTTCAAAGCTACTTTTATAAATTATGTAGAATGTAGATAGATATATGTCTTTATATTATAAGGTAGTATAATGTAAGTAAAGAGATACTAGCAGCGTATGTTGATTATTCCATTCATGAAATGCCAACATTAAAAGTCACGACCTGCTCATATGAGATTCACTATTGTTGACCCCCATTTTCATTTCATGGTACCCCAATTTTTTTTCACTTGACATGGACCCCTTGCAGGTTGTCGTCGACCCCTGGTTGCCTGGGGGTCGATATAGACCACTTTGGGAATCACTGTTCTAGACAGTCAATATTTCCAAGTGAATGCCTCACATAATTATTACATTATTATTTGAATAAAAGTGTAACGTTACTTCGTGCTGGAAAAATTGTTTTCGTATGAATTTTTTATTTTGATTAACATATTCTTTGACTTCCGTTTCCCTTCTCTCTAACTGTTGATATATGTTGAACCTATTATTTAAAGCAAGATGAATACACTAGACGAGATCTATTATTCCGGGAAAAATGGAAAATATGGCAAGCAGTTGAAAAATTAACATGAGCAACTTACTATTGGCTATCACAACGCTCAAATACGCCATTTGGGGCGAGACCGGTTTCATGTCTTTGGCCCTTCTCCCTTCCCTCTCCTCCTCTTATCTGTTGTAGGCGATCGCAAAGCTCGAATACGCCATCTGGGGAGAGATCGGTTTCATGCCTTTGGCCCTTCTCCCTCCTGCTCTTTTCAGTTATATAGGAATGTACTACGAAATTTTCCCTTTTCGTAATATTTTTCCTTTCTTTAGAACTTTGCTTTCTTTAGTGCGTTTCCTTAGAACTATGTTTAATGTAGTTTTCAGTTCCATATAGTTTTCCAACTTAAAACATTTTAATCTATATGAAAATTAAGAGAGAAACTAAAGTACTTCCTCTCTCTATGACTCTCCACACGCTAATGGGGAAAGTATGCAAAGTGTTGCCATAGGTAGAGAATTCTGCTCTACGCCACCTGCAGCCCATTTCGATCGCCAATAAGCGTTTATCTTTTCTTTCTTATTACTTGCAAAATTACAGAGTGTGGTTTTATTCTCTATTTCAGATTCCAGTCAACAATTTTATTCAAAATTCTTACCTGAAATTATTCTATGTCTATGAAAAGCTTATTATTCTAATTTTTTTCATTGCATAAAGAAATGACTTTTTATGATAGTAAATTATTTTAACTCAATTAGAATTAAAAAGTTAAGAATAAAAATTATTGACTTATCTTTTCCCAGTGATCAGAAAAATTACATTATTTTTGTAGTTTACTACAATTATTTTGTTAAAAATGTAGTTTATTACAACTACTTTTTTTAATGTAGTCAAAAAATACTATTTTTGAAATGTTGTAATTGTTCTTCTACTTTAAGGAGATAAATTTTACTAGAGAATTTAATTTACACCTATATTTAAAATGATTTTGAATAAAAAAAAATTGCCTTTTATTAGACATGATAAATTATTAAGAAATATTTATTCATGTTTACTTGAGCCAGTTTGTTATTCTAAAACATTTTTTTTCGAGTTCCTTCAATTAATCTTTAATTTATTTATGCCTTATTTCACAGCGAATATTTATTTTAAAAATGCTAGGAAGTTATCTAATATTTGCAATTTTAAGTGTTTAATGCTCCTGCCTTAAGAAATTAAGTACATCATAAATATGTTCCTTTCCTTTTAAATAACTTTAATTTTTCATATGTGTACATTCACTTGTGAAAAGATGCAAAAATTGTTCATAATGGCTAGTTAAAAATAGATATACGTGATTCTAAAAACATAATTCATGTTAATGCTCAGCTGCGGCCATAAGAGTAAGATTTCTCTCCATCAAATTCGAAAAAGTGGTAGCTTTATAACATTGTTTCTATTCTAAAATTTCGTTGTGAAGTTTATAAAGCAGGTAAATGTTATGATTTTTATATTTAAGAATTTACTTGCAAATAATTTTTTTCTGATTTCATGATAATACTTTACCGAATGGCTTTCTATGTCTGATTAAGAAATTTAAGACAAAAAAGAAAAAAAAATATGAAGATTTTTATTTCAATATGAGGAATTTACGGGATCAATTTTTTTTTTATCTTAAGCATTCTTTATTTTACCTTTTTTAGGCGATAAATGATGATTTTTTATGAAACTTTAAATTTTTTGATAAAAATTGTGATCAAAAACTTTTTTTGCGAAATTAAATTATATAACATTATGTGTCTGTGTGTACTTTTTGCATATTTTAATGTTTGAAGTACTATGGTTCAAAATGTAAAGTTTAAATAGACCTTTCGTTATTACATAGCTTCACCAAAGATATCTCCTGTGCAACTGATGATCGTGTTCTGCTAGCAGTCATTCGTCTCAGATTACAACGCCTCCTATAGGTCGTTGCGTTCGCGAATCCATCGTCCCAGCCTGAATTTGCCGTTCTGACTTTTACTTCAACTTTCTGCTATTCAACAAGCCACAACCATGGACTTCATTAATGGATATACAAAGCTATAAGCTAACGCAAAGAGCTCGTCGCACTTCTATCGCACATCCTGTCGTACCAAAGAATAACAAAAATATCAGAGATAAGGATAAGTGAGGAATGCCTTACTGAAGATAATTATGTTATGTCTTACTGAAGATAACTGAATTATATGTGTTTCAGTAATCAAAAGGAAATCTATCTTCTGAGACTAAGTGTAATAATGAGTGATTTAGTGTATTATATATTTTTGATTCCTGTTACTCTCCCCGTTGTTATGTTTTTCATCTTTTTTGCATGGATGGGATTCCAGTTATTTGTAAACAATTGATGTTAAATGCTTATATTGAATCTTTCAAACTTTCTTGCAAAATTAATGCCATGAACATGGTACCTTCAGCCTTGTCAAATAGAAATGTTATGCTGTCCTGCGGATCATTGCAAAAAATACTTGATGGTATTGATGTAGATAGTGCAACTCTACAAATTCTCGGCTATAAAAGAGTGCCTGGGGAAGGAATCGAGCGCTTTCGATTGCTGGTAAATGATGGCATTTTATTGTTTTCATTCGCAGTACTTGCAACTCACCTTAATAGTTTAATTAAAGACAGGAAACTTGAGAAATTTTCTGTCTTCAAACTTAACAAATATGCTTGCAATGATGTACAACCAAATAAAAAGATTATTCTTTGTCTTGACATTACACCTCTGATACCAGGTTGCCAAATAAATAGTCAAATTGAGTACAATAAAGATAAAAATGCAGAAGTATTTAATAATAATATTGAATCTAGTCATCTTGCACCAATAAATCATAGCAGCAAATCTATTGTTGAGACCAGTAATACTTCCACTTCAGTTACAACCAAAGCTCTAATGAATCCAACTTCTTACAATAATTCCAATGATAACACTCATCCTGTTACAAAGAAGAATATCACTTCAGCTCCTACATTGTTGACTTCTGCTGCTTCCAAAACACTAGTTGCCCCTTCCAGTAGTATATTTTCCAGCTCAACTAATAATAGCAATCAGTTTGTTCTTGAGACCAGTAATACTACATCATCATCTTCAGTTTTGACCCAGGCTCCAGTTATTCCTTCAACCAGCCGATTTTCTAATTCAATCAGTAATAATTTGGCCAGTAATAGTAATTGGGACAAAACTGAAGTCTCAGCTTCAAGAAATGTCCAGCCAAAGCCAGTTGTGCCTATTTTTAGTCTAACACCATATCAAAATAAATGGACTATTAGAGCTTGTGTTATTTATAAGACTCCTGTTTCGTGCTATAGTAAGGACAAGAAAAGTGGGAAGCTTTTTTCTTTCTTCTTATTAGATGATAGTGGGGAAATAAAGGCAACTGCCTTTGATAGACAAGCTGAAGAATTATATCAGTTTCTTCAAATAAATAAATTATATTACATCTCTGGTGCTAATGTACGGTTATCGCGAACTGATTCATCAATCCATGATTTTGAATTGACAATATCTGATTACACAAAAATTGAACTAGTCTCTGATGATAATTTAGAGATTCCAGAACTAATATTTAACTTTATTGATATAAACCAAATTGTTGAAGCAAAAAAAAGTTTTGTAGATGTAATTGGAATCTGTGTGGCTATTGAAAAAAGAACTATAGTTGCTAAAGCAACTAACAAAGAGATACAAAAACTAGATGTCCACTTAATGAGCATGGATCAAAGCAAAATTATTGTTACCGTTTGGGGTAATGAAGCCGAAAACTATCAACTTGATGATTATCCAGTGATTGCTTTTAAAAGGGCAAAGGTTACAGAGTTTAATGGTTGTTCTTTAAACATGGGACCATCTAGTATGATGTTTGTAAACCCCAATCTAAGGCAAGCACATGCACTTAAATCGTGGTTTAATGAACATCGTAGCTCTTTACAACTTGACATACTTGAAAGAAATCAAATATGGAAGACAGTTGCTGATATCAATGAATTAGATGTCAGTAATCTTAATGTAACTGACTATAGCACTGTTAAAGCTACAATAGTTATGGTTCAAAAAGATAATGCAATGTATCAAGCCTGTCCTTTGACTGACTGTTTTAAAAAAGTTTCACAGACGGTTAATGGCCAGTACCACTGCAACAAGTGCAATAAAGATTATGACACTTATTCTTGGACTCTATTGTTAAAGATAAATATAGCTGATTTTTCCTCTGGTATTTGGGCTGTAGCTTTCAGGGAAACTGCAGAATTTCTTTTGAATCTAAAATCAACTGATTTAAGTGCACTTAAAGAACAAAGTGAGGATAAATATCAAGATATACTTTCTAGCTTGCATTTTAAATCGTTTATATTTAAACTTCGCTCCAGAGTTGAAGTTTTTAATGATACTAATCAATTAAAAATATCTATTCTAGATTCAAAGCCAATTAATACCTTATCTTACACTAAAAAGCTTTTGTTAGATATTAATCGATTGGAAAAAATATTGAGTACTAATAAATAGGTTGTAAGAAGTTTCATGTTAATAGCAGTAACTATATTTACAGTATTTAAGTTAGTTGGATGTTCTATCTTGCAAAATTGCAAACAACTTACTTATTGATAAGAAAATAAATCAAGACCTTTATATTATTTATATTCTGAATTTTTCTTTAATTCAACAAAAGGAAGTTGAATTTTGAGGCTATCAGATAAAAATCGTCTGTTTTAAATTCTAAACCAATTGAAATCTCTGTGCTTTTAAATATTTTTATTAAAGATTGTTCAACCGGAAAAGTATAAGTACATGGGTAAATAAACGCACCTATACTTATTTCAATTATTGCTTTTATTTATTCCGTGTTATATATGATCTGACTTAATCATATTTGCTACAGTACTTAAATTATATTGTCTTCTTTTAAATTATTTTTTTTTTAATCTTATTACTCTATTAATAAATATAAGCAGTTGCTTATTTAATTTCTTTATTTACATTCTATGATTTATTTTTGTAAATTTATTCCCTCAAAATAAAAATTTAATTTCAAGATAAGTTTTCTAGCCTTTTCTCTCTCAAACATATATATTTAAATGACTTAGAGTTAGCCCAGTGGTAGTTTCTACATTTTTCTTTTCTTCTTTTTCTGCATCAAATTTGACTTATAACTCTGTTTGACCATCTTAACTAAATTATACAATGTCATTTAAATTTTTAACAACATAGTTGACTTATTGTTTGTATGACATTTAACTCTACATTCAGTTAATTTTTTTTAACTCTAATTTGGGCTTGAAGTTTTCATTTATGCTAATAAGTTTATAATAAACTTTGTTTCCTAAGCTAGTCAATATCATGGAAAATCTCTTATTATTTATCAGTTGGTATTGAATGTGGCTGATTATAACAACCTGTGTTTTTATATTGAATGTTCTGTTTATGCTTATTTTAATACATATATGTATTTTTCAAATATTAAGTTTTTTATCCTTCTGCAAAGTAATTTTTTTCTTTATGTACATATTTAATTACCTCACTTGAATTTTGCTATCGATTACTTTTACTTTATATTCAATATTTTTATATTACTGACATTTTGTAGCTTTTATAACATTTTAAGTATAGACAGCATTAGATTTATATTTTTAGAAATTTTTTAGAGTATGTTAAATATTTTGAACAGAAAAATTTAAATTTTATTTTTATGTAGCTATCTTAACAATGGTCTGTTAAAGTGTTTACCTTCTTTAGAAAATTGCTGGTGCTACTGCTGAAATGTGCTATAGTGATGAGCCTTTTTCTTTTCAATTTTATTTCATACTAAATCAATTTTTAAGGTCGTTTGATTTTATTAACTTTGGAACATAGTATTTAAAACAGTGTACCCTTTTCAGACTCTTGTGTCATGAAAACCCATGTGCACTTCAAGATTATTTATTATATTTATTTTTAAAAATTATTTAACTTCCTTAACTATCGACTTTAAACTGACGTGACTAGCACTTCAGTTCTTTCCTTAAAAGGAAATCAGTTTCTTTTATTGTTATTCAATAAAGTTTTTATTCAATTTCGATTAAGTAATTTGACATTAAAGGAGTTGTTGTTATTCAATGAAATTTTTATTCAATTTCGACCAAATAATTTGACATTAAAAGAGTTGTTGTTATTCAATGAAATTTTTATTCAATTTCGACCAAGTAATTCGACATTAAAAGAGTTGTTGTAATTTGAAAATGAATTGTTTTAATTGTAAAATATGAGAATTTCTTGACATTTATGAAGTTTAAAAAGCTATAGCAGATTATCTGAAATAAAAAAATTTGATTATTATATGTTACTGATAATAATTAAACTATCAATTCTGAATGCAAAGGGTATCTTCATAGAAAATTACTTCTCCATTTTCGATGGTGCAGTTACTATTAGTGTTGTTTTTTTAAAAACAAGGGTTCCTGTTCCTAAACTCTGACATATCTTTTTGTCTGGAAGAATAGTAACATTTCACATAAATGTGAATAGTCAGCTCCTTTAGAAAAATTTGAATATCTCTTCATAAACCTCTTTTAGTAAGGTTTAATGATGAAAAATTTTGTAGGAAATAACTATTTAATTTTTATATAACATAAGCTGTGTTTATTTTATAATTCTTACATTTTGTGAATTAAAATAATAATATTGATATGGATATAATTGTTAATCCTAGTGGAATACCTTTGTCAGCTGTACAAAAAATGAGCTATTGTCATTTTACTGGAAGGGGTTAATGGCGTTTTAATGTTTAAGGGGCAGTCAAATAAAAAAAAAGAAAACAACTACAAAAGAATCGTGTGGCAGCGAATTTTGTGTGCTCTAGCACTGTAGGCCACAAAGATAAGAACCACACATCTCTGCTCAGCTCCAGAGCAATTTACTATTACAACTTTACAGACCTGTGCATTTTCACATGCATTTCTCTTACCTTTAAGATAACTGTTTTGACAATTGTGTTCCCACTTAGACAAAGAATGTATTTTATGGCAAATGTTTGATTTTCATTTGACTCGAAGACTAACCCTTATATATTTAGATGCTTGGTTGTACGTGTAAAAAAAAGATGCTTAATGTTACATGTAATTATTTTATAAGAATGATTTAGACTAAATAAACTATTTTCATTAATAAATTAAGGGTTATAAAATCCTGTTGTGAATAAAACCGTAATTTATGTTAGACAAGTGAGAAGCATGATAAATATTCGAATGCAAATTGCTCAATATGCTTTTGAAAAAGAAAACATGTGTTCAAAAAAAAATTTTTTTTTTTTTTAATAGAAATATTGAATGAAGTGCAATTCTAAATCATAATGCTTGCTTGGCTCAGGGCTAAAAATTATTAGTGTAATCTGAATTAAATGTTAAAGTTAAGCTCATGAAAATGTTTTTTTTTTAATGCTACAAAGCATTCAGTTCTAGGTAAAAATGTTAAAGGGATTCCATACTGTTGGAAAAAATATTCACATCTCACTAACTGCATCTATTCGAGGTAAATAAACTGTGCTGTTAAAATAGTGATATAAGTTATACAGTATGTAATAATTACGCAATTATAAATAAAATATTTCTCAATTAACATGATTTCTAATTAAACTTAGAAAAAAAATTTTTTTTGAAAATTAATAACTTTTTGAGAAAGTTAGAAAATGAGTTTAAAAGTTTTCTTACTTGTTAAATTTAGGTCTGTATGATTAGAAAAGTTTTCTTTAAGCTCAGCAGCTAGTTATAGGCAATACTAGAAGAAATTTTTTTCATTAACTTAATCTCTTTTCTTTATTTATTGTAAACAGAGTTTTCAAGTATTATATGTTTTGGTACATGTGGTGTGATATTAATTTGAATCTTATTCTGTGTCAATTAAACTGTTAAAAAGTCATTGAAAGTGCCATTAAAATTGCAAAATCTATGTTGCTGAAATATATTTTTATATGTAATTATTTTTTCAAAAATATTGTGTGAGGCTGATCAAATAATTATGTAAGCAAGTACATATTGGGATATTTGTTAATCTGCGACTTCCATTTGTTGCAATAATAGGAAGATTTGCTCGGTATAAGTCTTTGATTATTTAACCTAGATTTTTCTCTCTATTCAGCTGGGTTGTTTTCTTGTTTTACAAATCCATTTCTACCTCATAATTCAATGAAAAGGAGGAATAGAGAGCGCTATGCAGTATTTAGATTTTCCTAGACAACAAAGATTGCTAAAATATTTTTCTGATAAGATTTCAGATCTAATCTGATAGTCAGATTTATTTGATTTAAATCCTATTTTTTAATTGAAATTGAATTTTTTTTATTTTTACTAGCCAAATCATCCGATAAAGTGTATTGTCAATGCTTAATATTATTTAAAAACAATAATATGGCTAAAATAATTCAAAAATTATTATTTAGTAATTACTAACTAATCACTGAATAAATAAAATCATGGTTATTTTTGTTCAAGTCATCCTAAAAATATTTTATCCAACTTTGATCGTAAAGCATAGTAGATTGTGTAGATAACTTTGTTTTTTTAATGATTTAAAATTCATTTGTTTATTTTTACAGCATCGAAGCTAGCAAGTTGTAATGCATCCTGATGCAAAATGAATACTATTAAAACATAGGAACACTTTTTGTTCTCAGAACTTTTTGTAAATATTAGTAAATTAGTTTATGTTTTATAAATAGATTTTATCATCATCCAGAAATAAAGAGTGCTGAGAAAATCTTAACAGTTCTTTTTAAAGTATAAATTTATTAAAAAAAATTGAATATTTTTTTTCGATAATTCATGTGTCATGTATGATTTGAAAGTAACTGAATCCAGATCCTTTCTCCTCTCAGCAAAATTTAACCTCAAATCAACTCCTGCATGCTTACATAATATTTGAACAGTTCCTGTAGTAAAATATATTTATTGACTTATATTATAATTGCATAGTTCAAGATACATCAATCCTAGTCTTCCTTTTTTAATTAATGGAATTATATAATGAAATATATTTGCTCAAATGAAATGAGACATTGTAAAAAGCATATGTCTAAAGCTATTTTTCTACCAAACTTTACTTATAATGACCATATTTCATGTGATGTTAATTTTAAGTCAATAAACGTTCCAAATGGCAACAGAAAAATGAAAGTTCGAGTATTTATTTCATTTATGTTCTTTAATTATTTATGCTATTTAATGACACTGTCATAATGTTCTTTAGATTAAAATATGTATTTCTTTTATATTTTTGCCGAAAAATATCGAATTTGAAATTATTTTTTGTTCACCACGCACCATTTCCCCATAAAACTGGGTCCCTCAGTAGACCAATCGTTAAGACACGGTTCCCAGTATATCACCGAAGTCAAACACTAATTTGTTAAATCTGTGTCTGTCTTTTTTTAAAAGATGGTTTATATTTCGTTGGTAATTTTCTTTTCAGTCCTGTAAAAATAGACATTTTCTTAGGAAAATTTAAAACTAAAATTTTGTTTTATAGAAATCTTTGTTATGTTCATATAAATGATACCTGAACACTTCCATTCTCTCCTCTGTACTTTCCCCCCTGCTTTGAGAGAAATGAGGGGAGGTGATTTGAAGGAGTAGAAAATGAATTTCTTCTACACCGGCAAGTGAGGCATTATTTGCGATGCATTTTGATAGCTTTAAAATTTTCCCAAGAGTGCCACAATTCTGCTAAAGGGAAGGTTATGTTTTTTTTTTTCAGATTCATTTTTTAAAATTAAAATTGCACTTATTTCACAATAAAATATCTAGCCAATTTTTCTTTATAGAAGATGTATGTATTTCCTGACAGAAAAGGTTAATATCTCCCTGGATTATATCGGAAATCGAAGCCGCCGTTTCCACACTTCTGAACTTGGGCGAAAAAATAGCCACCTTCAGTTAGGGAAGCCCAAGTTTATTTTAAGTACCATCCCGTTCATTATATTACATATGAAATTTGTCCCGCAGTGGACTGATCGTAAAGACACGGCTCCCAGTAGAACAACGAAGTCAAGCATCACTAGCTGCGGTCAGAAAGCGGGTGGGTGACCAATTTGATCAGGTTGCGTAGGGACCGAGGTTGTTCGGTATCGGTTCTCGTTAAACTGTTCTACCATAAAGTGCTCGCTTTCACGCTCTGGATCGTCGGGCTACCAAAGCAGGGGGGCCATCCCCTCTGCAGAGGATCAAAATTACGATTGCATGTCTTCGGATCTGGAAACATCCGTATGGATGTTTCCCACACCGTCGCCAAATAGCCCATTGTGCATCTCTAGTGCTACGTAAATAAAGTACTTTCCATTACAAATTTGATTCGTAAACCTTCATACTTTTATCCTTTCCAAAAAAAATTCACTTCATGGGCGTGTTTGGGGTGGGTATTTATCCCTCTCAATAATTCAAAATCTCTGAAGGTCCCCCTCTATATTTGAGACAAAGAAAATTTGTTTGAGTCCAATATTACAAGAGTACGGAGTTGAAAATTGATAGCCGTTAACCAAAAACTTGGTCAGCTATTTAACACTTGTCATAAAATTAAATTAAAAGTACGAACATGCGATCTGTCGCTGTCCGGGGCTTTCAACTATATCGGTTTGATTTGTGTATGCTCTACTTCAATTAAGCGCTTGTATGCTATTCACTTTTAAATGCCGAGGTTCACAGGGCCTTCGAGCCAGGGATCTTAGTGTCTCACAATTTGTAAGTTTTTTATTCATTCATACGTGATTCTTGCTTTTATTATAAAATGGGGGAGGGGGAGAAGTTCTTATTCAACTGGAAAACTAATAGCTGAAGGGCATCACTAAAAGAGAATGAAGAGATCTAATCCCATGAATCACTTTAAAAAGTTGGCCCGAAGGACAATATTTCCCGACCATTAAGGCTATAGCTTTTAAGTTTTTTTTTTACTTATTTATTGCATTAGGTTGTGTGCTCATTGCAAAGTGCGAATTATCCTTATCAAGCTTTTCTGCAGTAGACTGATCTTAAAGACATCGTTCACAGTAAAACACTGAAGTCAAGTATCACTGGCGGTGGTCTGTGAGCGGGTGCGTGACCACTTTGATCAGGCTGCAGGATCGAGGGTTCGCAGTATTTGTTCTCGTTAAACTGTTCTACCACAGAGTATTTGGCTTCGTTCGCAGATCGTCGGACTACCACAGCGGAGAAACAATCCCCTATGTTGATGATCAAAATTGTAATGGCATATCTTCGGATCAACCTAAATCAGGGCTCGAAAAACCGTTCGTCCTCGGCTGTCAAAAACTCCCCGCAGACAACGAATTTCTCGAATCCGACGTCCGCACGGACGGCCATTTTTCCGTTAATGTTCGTGATACATTTTCAATTTCAAACTCAAAAAGCGCAGTACCCTCGGATAAATTGACATTCCAGATAACTTGAACTTTGTCATTTAAATTATTTCATAAAGGAAATACTAGGTTACTATTAGTAACCTTGTATTTCTTTCATTACTAATTCATATGTAGTATAATGTAATCCTAGTAACTACTAATTCATAGTGCAATTTATATAAATGTTTGTAATAAATATGAGAAAATTATATTTTTATTTATTTAGAAGCTACGGGTTAGTTTCAAAGGAGGACGGGTACATTGTTGAATGGACAAGCCGTCCTCGCGGACGGGTAAAGTTTCTGAGTTTTTTCGAGCCCTGACCTAAATTATGCTTCCCAGATCGTCGCTCGGGGTTACAGTGGGATTCGAATCCGCTACCTTCACTCTACAGAACGTTTAACGGAACAGTGAGATAGCTACAGCTAATGCCCAGCACCTAGTCCCATTTCTCAAAACCCTTTCCTTTTAACAGTCATGGCCGGAATGCCGCGTAATTTTGAGCTCAAACAGACAACGTGGGCAAAGCCTTGGACTAACCCTTTCTTACCCTGTATGTAGGTACTTTTATTTATGCCGCACTAGAGCTGCATAATGGGCTATTGGCGACGGTCTGAGGAATATCCTTGAGGCTGATCCGACGACATGCCTTCGCAATTTTAATCCTCCGCAGAGGGGATGGCTCCCCTGCTTTGGTAGCCCGACAACCAAAGTCAACCGCGCGAAGTCGAGCAGTTTACGGTAGAACAGTTTAACGATGACCGATACCGCGCACCCTCGGTCCCTACGAATACTGATCAACGTGGTCACCCACCCGCTTACTGACCGCAGCCCGTGAGACTTGACTTCGGTGCTCTACTGGGAACCTTGTCTTTACGATCAGTCTACTGTGTGACTTTTTTACCTTATATCTTTTCAACTCTTTCCCGACAGATTTAATGTTTACCTCGATGCATATGGACGCTGATTATTCATTAATTACGACTTATGAAGCCCTTGTGATTTTTTTTTTTTTAAAGCAGATAGCATAAGTCAGAGAAGGACATCACAATGATACATCCTGAGTCACGGCGTGATTCGAACCCGCTACCTTCACGCCTTAGCGGAATGGCGAGACAGCATAGACAGGAACCTCTGCAAACTACGAAGACGGTTCATAAGCCCTTGTTAACATATACCTCTAATTAGATTAGGATATCAAAGATACTTCCAGTTTTATGGCGACATTCGAACCCCCTTACCCCCACGCTATAAGGTGTTCGACGGATTTTGAGACTGCTCGGCCAGGAATGTGTTTATCATATGAGTTTATCAGATGTTGAGGTGAAAGAAATAGGCGGGGGCAGCGTTTCCAATAAAATTTAATTCATTACGGTTTCTACAAAATTTCCACTTATTTAAAAGATATACGTTAAAAGTATACACGTAAATTCTCTGTGACTGCTAGCCCCAACGCTTTTATATTTTATTCCCTCCATTACAAGTAGTTTGTACTTGTTGAACTGTGTTTTTAAATTTTTACAATTATGAATTTACAGAACAAAGAATTGAGAGGATTCCTTCGCAATGTGTTTCGGGATATGGACATAATGACTTCTAAGGCTCTTGTCGTAAATTATTCTAATGATGAACTTTATGGTAGATTTATGAAGCAGATGAGCGTTTTTTACCAAGCTTTTGGTCCCATGCACAGGAGTGACTTGGAAATGTTTTTTACATCGGCGGACATCATCTGGGACAATTTGGATTCCTTGTTAAACTCCCATTTCGCCAAAATACTCAAAGAATTTACTAATGCATTCCTCATTTTGATGTATGCTTATAGTTTTGCCTTTTCTGTTATAGAGTTTTGTAGACGGAGAACTGGCCATGGATACTTTAAAATAGTTTCGAAATTTATGAAAGATGAGTTTATTGTTGTTATCGCTGATCAGTTTTATGCTGGAGGTGGATGGAAAGGATTGAGCAAGTTTTGTGCGGCACAGAAATTACTTGAAGTATTAGACTTCATAAACGTATGTTACAGTGCGAAAGGAAAATTGCTGACTTTCGTTCAAATTAAGTCTGTTAGAACACGCGAGCAGGATCGTGTGGATTATAAGGGAGGTTTCCTCGATTTCGGGATACATAGTGAACGGACGCTTAATTTATTGAAGAATAATCTTGAAGACTTCGAAAGATCTGTTTTCCTAACTTATGGGGAAGAAATTAGCAGATACCCTTATTTTACCCGTATGCTTACGATATCGTTTTTAAAAATGAACTTAGCCTTGGATCATATAGCAAGGTATTTAAATCCACCTGACGCAGCCAGAAGAATTTTAACGTGTCCATTATTGGATTTCTTCGAAGAGACAATATTAGACTCAGAATAATTTGAATGAAAATGTTGACTCTTACACGAGGCACTAGTGACACAGTGTAGTTCTTCGTGAGATGTTATTTGAATGACACACTGAAAATATGTACGACCGTGCGAATTAAAATCGTCGCACAAATGGTTCCATTAGGACACGGAGGAAGTTCTGACTTCTTGATACGTTATTTGAATGACGCTTTACAAATGAGTACAACTATGTGAATAGAAATGTTTATTCACGGCACTATAGTGACTCGGAGAAAATGCTAATTTCTTCGTGAGATGTTATTTAAATGGCGCTTTTCAAACAAGTACAACTATGCGAATAGAAAAGTTTATATGCAATAATATAGTGACAGAGAAGTACTAATTTCTTCTTGATATGTTATCGCCTTGAAACGACAAAATGAATAAAAGAGTTGATT